ACACATACGTACATGATCCTACTTACCTTTAAAAATACTGTACTTACACATAGTATACACATATATAAACATATTATTTACCTTACAAAATCTACTATCTACCATCACATATGCTAACAAAACGTCAATACACACACACACACACACACACACACACACACACACACACACACACACACATGCAGACACACACATGCAGACACACACACACACACACACACACACACACACATGCAGACACACATGCAGACACACACACACACACACACACACACACACACACACACACACACACATGCAGACACACACACACACACACACACACACACACACACACACATGCAGACACACACATGCAGACACACACACACACACACACACACACACACACACACACACACACACACACACACACACACACACACACACACACATTAAGAGAACAAAGGTAAAAGTTCACTTATAAAGGGGAGGAAACAAGTGAAGGATCTTTTGTTTTCCTGTCCATCTGTCATTGCACTTTTTGTTCACCTCTCTCTCTTTCTCTCTCTATGTCTCTCTCTCTCTCTCTCACACACACACACACACACACACTCACACACACTCACACTCACACAGACACTTGCCTGCCACTCTACCGCTCCTGACACATCGATTATCAATAAACATCTCGTAAATAATGCGAGGGCTACCACAAGAGGGACATGTGTAAGTCATTGTACAAGGCGTCTTTGTATGTATGTATGTATGTATGTATGTATGTATGTATGTATGTATGTATGTATGTATGTATGTATGTATGTTTTAAAGGTTATCAATGCCATAGTCTAATGTCGTATTGATGTTTGTCGCTACATACTGAACTCGATACCATTAACGCCATTAAGAAACTCAATTACAACTGACCCAGGTGCAAATGTCATGTCATTAAGTTTTTATTTATTTTTAATGAGTTTTATAGCTGGTAGAAAGAGACATACGAACAGTGTTTAATTTATTTGTCTTTCTCATCTCTATCATTACAGTTTTCCTTATTTTTCTATTTCTCATTTTTGTTTTTCTCTGACAATACTTTATAGGATATTTTTTATTTATATTTTTCCCGTGATTATTTTTATTTTTAATTAATTTTATCAATTTTTTTTATTCATTTCATAATTGCGATATTTTGTAGTATATTTCTACTCTCTCATTGTCGTTCTCTTTACATGATTCTAACTGTGCAAAAATCTTCCTCATCAGTCAGCTCTTTTATCCAGCATCCGGGGAAAATATCTGAGAGTAAGGAACATATACCAAGAGCCTGGTCTGCTAAAACCTACTTAACTGGGATTCAGTCTGCGGGGGAATGAGACTCGACTCCATCTCTCGCGACATTTCCTCGTTAGCTGCTCTCCGCCTTGACTCTGCCCTGAGCCCGAGAGTTCTCCAACACACTTTAAAGTTTTTCCCAGTATAATGACCAACCCACGATGAGGGGTTAGACAGAAAGTGGTCTACATACTGTACAGCATTAGGTGTTGTGGCCACGCTATGGTGTCTGTCGAGAATAACTTTATATAAAACATGACTCCATAAGTTAGCGGACATGAACAGAGACACACATCTAAAATAATGTTTAGATGGGATTTTTTTTTTCACACAGTACCAGAAATAAAAATAATCCCAGGTAATGTTACTTTTTCAATTGCTGTGGAAATTTGAACATAAATTTAACGTTTAGTGATAATTCTAGGTTGGGTGATTTCTCCTTCAATAAAGAACGATTATTCTGGTTAACTTCAAACAACAGGGAATCTCAAACACAGCTGACAGCAAACTTCGGTATTCAATAAACAGGAACACGTGAGTGGGAACTGGACAAAGTGACTCAGAGTAGAAGACGGAAACTAACATATAAGCATAAAAAACTTATTAATTTGTCATCCACATCGTATGAGAAAAATGAAAACAAAAAGTAGTGTGGAACTTTTTTTTACTTAAACAAATGGTAACTCAATACCAAGGAAGAAACATTTTGAGAGTCATTAATTTACGCCACCATCCATACGCCTCAACCATACCATCATAAGAACACCGTAAGAATCACCATAACTACAGCAATATCTATAAAACACGCGTCTACAGCAAATATTCATCAGGATTTTAATAGCCATATCAACACCCATAGAATGTGCACTAAAATGGGTTATGTTGATTATATCCATCACCCGAACGAGTCATCTGGGAGCCTCTTGGAGTGTACTTTTAGCCAGAGCAATTTACATGTATTTAACTCACACACATTGAGAGTGGTACTTCTACATAATTTACATCAGAATTGGCAGTAATATCATAGCCAAGGTTCTTTACAGCTCTTACTCCTGATTGCAAGAAAGTCTATACCAATAATATTTATTAAAATATTTTAATATTTTATTTTACTAACATCACAATTTTTCTGTTATTCGAAAATTTTATTATTATTAATGTTGTTGTTGCTGTCATCATAATCATCGTTATTATTATAATAATAATAATAATAATAATCGATGCCCCTTTGAAATCGAGGATGGCCGGCCCTAGGGCCACCTAGGCGTGAATTTGTTTATGGTGTAGAAGCTGTCGCCAACACAACAACCACACCCTAAGTTAACGAGTTGCATGACCCAGTGTCAAGGAACAGTACGAGAAGACCGGACAACTCGCCAACTGCACTGGCTAAACATTACCTCGGAACACGATTCGCAAATAGATTAACATCCAGGTCCCCAATTACTGCTGGGTAGACAGAGCCAAATGGCGTAAAGAAACTTGCCCATAGTTTCACCCTGCCCGGGGGATCGAACCAGGGTCCACTCGCTTGCGAGGCGAGCATGCTGACCATAACACCACAGGTCGACATCATCATCATTATTATTATTATTATTATTATTATTATTATTATTATTATTATTATTATTATTATTATTATTATTATTATTATTATTATTATTATTATTATTATTATTATTATTATTATTATTATGTCAATAACTCCAGACGCGGTGTTATTTATTTTTTATCTAAAGTTCACGTTACTTTACTCTCTACAGCTCCATAACAACAAGAGGAATTATTTACCTGTGCACAATAGATCAACAGACAATAACACCTCCACACTCTTCACCACGCGCCCTACTTACACCATAACGACATAATATTCTGTTACATACGTTCGACAGTTCCCAGTACAGCAATTTCAGAACAAAAAACTATTGGTCCATTAATTACATAAAACTCACTACACATCTGAAAACTAACGCGCAGAAAATGGTATATACATATAATACATGGATAACAATTATAATTTACAACAATCATTAAATATTTTTCGTTAATTCATTAGTTATATAGTTTGACAGTTAACGATAACAAACGTCACAAGGAAAAGATCCATACCAGTGTGAAGTAGTTAGATACAGAATGATAGAAACTCGAAAGAAAGAGTGTTTATGTCGGGAGAAAATGACAGTGATAGTAGACAGGTGATGCTCACTGTCTCATGAAGAATAAAATGGCTAAATATGAGGAGGTACAGTAACGTCAGCACTCCGGTGATTATATACATGGTGAAGTTGCCAGGGCAGGAACACAATCGAATCCTGAAGAGGCTGTTGGCTGGTGTGTGTGTGTGCGCGTGTGTGTTAGAGTTTTCTTGACAGGTGTGCGTGACGGTATAACATGTTTTATTTCTTTCTTTTCGTTCTTCTATCCTCTTTTTTCACACTCTTTACACGGGAAGTAACCAACAGAAAATAACTCATGGTATCCTCGACTGAATGAAATTATGGACAAGCGACAAGGAAATCACGCAGGTCTTGAAAAAACACACAAAAAAAAACACGGAACAATTGAGGGATAATGTCAGAGTTTAACACATCGGTGGTGGATCTGTTGCCCGAGGAATTAGAAAATCAATCTGGAAATAGAGTGACAGTGTAATGACCTCCTCTCGCTCTCACTCGGTAAAATCCAACGAGAAATGTAAAATGAACTTAGAAATGCATCAAAAAATTTCCAAATTAAGTTTCTATCTTAAAAGTGGAGTGATATTTTAGTGTAATATTGATGTTGGTTTGAAGGGCAGGGGACGAAACACTCCTAGGATAAATTTGCTTTTTAAACACATCAGCTGCTGGAGTCTATCATGGGTCACAGTAAAAGACAGATCGTTACATACTATACAGGTCTTCATCCTTGTAATTATTGGCTGGGATGATACTGAGGGGTGAAATAAACCTACCTTGATCTAATTAGTTCTCTGGTGTCTTAAAAAAAATACCCCGTAATATGTACACGTCAATAGGATTTTATATACTAGTTAAGGGTTTAGTTATTACGTAACATTAAAGAAATAATTACATTCTAGGGGAAACAAATATGGGTGTGTGTGTGTGTGTGACAGTCCAAGCTTGTAAATTGATGTTTAAGTATCTGTTTGTGTAAGTCTGTAATACATAGGAGTTCACTTGAGCTTATGCATGCATGTAACAGTTTTGTCTCTTCTACATGTGATGAAACTGTCAGGATATTTATGCCTGAGGTAATTTAAAGAGATATACGAATTAACATCCCTCCCTCCCTCCCTCCCCCAACCTGCTTTCAGTAATACTCTCATATCATGATATCATTTGTGTAATGTAAAATATAAATGAAATAGAAATTTACATACACAATAATCTTATACATATGAATTAACTTCAATGTTCACAAGTATAAAAGCACTTACCTTACACGTGTTATTAATATCCGGTTGGTCAATGAATTAGGATCCACGTGTAAAGCTGAAATTAATGGGGGTTTTTCTAGGTTCGAATATCATCTATGACAGCAACATATAAGTCACATCTACTATAGAAATATTATAATAAATCAGACTACATCGATAAAACAAAAATCCATCTCCAAACATCATAAAAAACAACATCTAGGTGAAGCTTCATTACTGGCAGACCATGAGGCAAGGTGTGAAGAATATATTAACAGGACTTACCTTTTCTCTTAGCTCGGTTCCTGCTCCTGGCGTGGCGCTGTTGTGGCGTCTTGACGAACGAGCGTTCCCCCCGGGTATGTTTGTTTCCTCCCTTAGCACGAACGGACGATCTGTTAGCGTGTAGACTGAGAGGTCGGTTGGCTTTTCTGTCTTGCTTTATGTCTGCCACAGAGCCATGAGCGACCGCCCGTTTATCGTCACTAGGCTCCTGGTCTGGCTGTTGCGGCCGCTGTTCGCTCTGGTGGTTACGCTTATTCATGGCGTCGGAGTGGTAGTTGGAAAAGATCTGAGGAAAATTCTTGGTGAATATCCGGGAATATTTGGCCGGGAGAGCGATGGTATGGTTCCTAAGGTGGTCGAGTCTGAATGGTTCTGGACGAGGAACAGAAGACCACCTCTCTCTCCTGTGTCTCACCACGGGCACCTCCACCACCGCTGGTACCGAGTCCTCTTCCATCCTCCTGCGGAAGCTCTCACTGTCGTTGGTTCCGTCGTTTTCATTTGGTTTATATAAGAACCTGAGGGGGATTCCGGGACTATTATCGTCTCGGAGCCTTGAGGGGCCATCAGCGTTAACATGGCCAGGGTCGTTGATGGTGTCCAATTTATTATTGTTGTGGTTGTCTGGGAAGACTTTTGTCGTACACACAACATTTTCAGTGTCTTTGCAGCCGGCATTAATGCTCCTGACCACCCTATTCTTCCTGCTTTCATCGACATTGTTCCGCTGGTCCCTCTCTTGGCTGACAGCCATCTCCGAGTGACCCCCACCAGCCTGGGCGTTAACTAGTACAAACTCATTTTTCTGCGCCTCTTCCGTGTCCCGTTTTTTATGCCACGTGACCCAAGGGACTTCCACGCTCTCGCCATCTTCTCTGTCTGTTCTGTCAACCCTGAATAATGAGTCGTTGCTCTTTTTGTTGTTAACTCCCGAAGTGTGAGGGACCTTCCTATTTTCCTTTACTCTGCTGTGCTTCCTCCAGGAATTCACAGATTTGTTTTCGAAATATAGTGTTTGAACACTGTTGCCTCTCGAGTTACTTGTAGCAAAACTTCTGTTATATACAAAAGAATCTTTCCCCTGTGTCTGCACAGATGGAATAGTTTTAAGACTGGTATCGGCATATGGAGGGCTGGATCCTAACATTCCCGAGATATGATGTTTTGTGGCGCTGGTGACAGGCGCCATCAGCTCCCCGGGAAGACGAGGAACGACGCCTCTTCTTTCACCCATTTTGTGCCTCAAGTGAGCCACGTCTGATCCCTTTACAACCACGGCTGATTTTTGATGTGGCTCCAAATGCTCCCGCCTCTGCTCAGCGGCGCCTACACTGCCGCTGGAGTAGGTTTTGGTCAAGACGTTACGAAACGTAGAGTCGGACAGACTATTGCTGAAATGAGCGTCACCCTCCTCCCTTATAGTCTCACTGCCCCCAGAACCTTGGCGTAGCCTCGAGGTCATCTCATAAGGTCTTTCATGGCCGGCAGTATCACCCCGCGAGAGAACTGCCTCTGTGTTGATTCCGGTTGTCTTCCTTGATGTTAAATTCCCTCTTATATTAATGATGTCGGTCTGATGCTCTTGGGAGGCGATGCCATTTTTTAGGGCCTTGTTGGTAAGACCCTTGGAAACAAAGAGAACATTTCCGGTAGAAGGCGAAGTATTATCCCCAGGATCTTGGACGTCGAATTTTGAACTGGTGGTTTGTTTTGGGTCTGTGGATGTTATCACTCCCAGACATGTCTCACTGGAGGTGTCATTAGTAAGAAAGTCTCGCTTACTCCCCCCTGCACATCTCTTATAAGCGACCTGATGAACTTGTTTACGGTTGACGGGTGATTTCCTCTGAGACACATCATTAATTAATCTGATGACGAGAGTTTTGTTAGCTGTCCGACTTCGGTTCCTTCGAGATTCTCGCCTCGATCGTTTGATCAGTGGATGGTGTTTGTTAATCCCCGCAGGGAATGCAGGAAGGGAGTCTGGTGCAAACATCCGTTGCCGGGGCCCTGGGAAAGAGAAATATGGGGATGCACTTGACTTTTCCTGGCTGCCGCCCATTGACTCGCTTGCCTGCTGATCCCTTGCTGCTGGTGATCTGAGGGTGAGCTGGTCAGGGAAAACTTTATCATGTCTATCCTTTACAGAAGGAATAATTTGGTGGCCGCTAACTGCTAAGAGAACTTGGTCTGTGGTTTTAACTTCCGGCGTCGTCGAAGATCCGCTCCAGGATAAGGTCTTCTGCTCATACTTGTCTCTGCTGCTCACGACTTCCTCGCGAGGGGACGGAAGTCTCCGAAAAAGTTCCTTCCAAGGAGGATGAGGAGGATGGTCCGCGCCTCCGGGGGAAACGAGGAGGAGCAGGAGGGCGGGGAAGTGAGGCAGCATGAGGCCACGCCCACCTAGCTCTCTCGACACGCCCAACCCAGGCCACACAGCCTCATCAGGGACAACTCTCACCCCAACTATAATGTTTCCTCTTTAAAGGCCACTGACATGTAGCTCTTGCCTTTATTCTTTATTTCTATGTCATCACGTTGGAGTTACTACTATAAATGTCCGGGACGTCACATATAATAACTCTTCACGACACACACACCAGCAATAACAATTATTATCTTCACAATTATTTCTGGTGGATAGAATTATTATCAACAAAACACACACACTACACTCAATGATATTTCCTTTATTGCACTGATCTTCAAGCTTCAGATGAACATATTTTTAAATGCACTAATCTCCAGTTATTGTTCACCGTTCACTAAGTACGTCAACCTTAATGAACAACAGTAGTCACAGCCACACAACAAAAGGTGAGCCAATATTAAGTGAGCTGACAAGGTCTTCCGAGACAGAGGTGAAACTCTCTACTCATCGTCTCTGTTGCCTTCAGAGTTTTGTTCCTCCTTCCTTAAACTGGTGGCCGGATAAACACCTGCCTTAACTGGTGGCCGGATACATATTTGCCTTAACTGGTGGCCGGATAAACACCTGCCTTAACTGGTGGCCGGATACATATTTGCCTTAACTGGTGGCCGGATAAAACACCTGCCTTAAACTAGTGACCGGATAAACATCTGCCTTAAACTCTACATTATTACTTGGATCCAAGCTCTCTGTATTTATAATTGATGATAATGTTGTAAATAAGTAATTAAATAAAAAAACAAACATTAATTTACCCTTATTTTTTTTTATCACATTTGGACACACACACACACACACATTCGCGCGCTCGCAAACGCAAACACACACACACACGCACACGCACACACGCACACGCACACACAGATAAAGTCGGATCAAACGAGACAACACCTTGTAAACAAAACCAGGATTATTATGGCGACGCTGCGGCTGACTCGGCGTTGGTAATACTGCTTTCTCTACGTAAATTCCAGTAAATGGCAACATTGTCTCCTCTAACGCCTTCTCTCTCTGCTTTTGTCTCTCGTTCTCTCTCTCGTTGAGTCTTCTCTAATGTTATGAAAAACGTGCTGTGTAAGTCATGTGCTGTGTGTGTGTGTGTGTGTGTGTGTGTGTGTGTGTGTGTGTGTGTGTGTGTGTGTCCATAAGCTTTTAAGGGTAACATAAATAGTTAACGAATATAAATAAAAACTTTAAATAAAAAACAAAAATAATATAAATCCCTCAATCCTCCATTAACCCCCTAACTCATTAAGGTGTCGACGTCATCTTCATTAATCTCAAAAGTTATGACTCCAAAGTTTGCATGTTTATCCCTAGTCTGTAAAATACTTACCCAATATCCCCTTCCTGTATATATTGACTCGGAATATTTAATGTAACTTTTATAACGATGTCGTGTTTATAATCTTCGGTAAAATCGAATAATTAATCAGCAGGTGTCCCGTATTGTTAATTAATTTTCAGGTAAAGCTTGTGGTAAAACTGATCAAAATCTTTAGGTCTATTTCTTCTTTTATTTTTCAATGGTTCCTTGGTGATAAATTGACTTCAAATCAATTCCTGTTCTCTCGTGATGACCAGTTTAAAGCGAATCTTCCCTGTTTACAGTAATAATATTTTCTTGAGATATCGTTTTAAAACTTAAGTGAAAGATTGAGAAATAAACTCGAAACTTAAATTCTAAATGTAATCTCCTAGATATACTAAGCCTCTGGACTGTACACAAAGAGGTGAGGAGTATGGCTTCCACTACAGTCCTCCACCTGATTTTTTCCAACTTAAATTTCGATAATCATTCCCAGTAAGGTGGACTAAAGTTACCCCGGGCGAATGCTGTATCCCCTCTGTCTCCGCTGGTGTTAATGCGGTAATATTCACTTTACTCCAAAATTCCTCCCTTTTCAATCTTTTCTTTCTTTAACAACCTTCTTAATGAAATGACTCCAAATATATTTCCAAATCAAGCGGGTTCTTCTTGGGTGATGGTGGTGACGGTAATCCACTTAAGGTGCATTAGACAGCAGTTTCGGGTTAAATTACATCTTAATTGCACCTCGTTGCTTTGAGGTCTTCCGCTAATTTAGGCAATTACTCGACCTGGAATGGTTTCACCAATATCCTTGGCTTGTGGTGCCTGTACTAAGGGCGTTGCTTCTGACCACTTCTCACACCTCATCCTTAACCCCCCCCCCCCTTTAAGTGTCCTGACCTGACCTCTTTTACAGCCTGAATGACCCTTTAACTATACCACTTAATTGCGAGGATCTAATGAGCTAAGTGTGATGGTATAATCCCTTGAGTATGATCGTATAATAACTATAATAGTATAATGAATATGTTTAGGTAATTGAGTATGATGACGTTATATTGAATATGGTGGAATTATGATCCTAAGTATGATGGTATAATCCCTTAAGCATGATGGTATAATCCCTTGAGTATGATGGTATAATGACATGACTATAATGATGTAATGTCTTGTGTATAATGAAATACCACGAAGCAACAAGACATAAACAAGGAAGAGATAACAACAATACAACGAGTAAACAAAGTCAGTACAGTGGGTAAACAAAGTAAAAGCAACGAGCAAACAACTACACGCACAATGAACTGAGAGGCCGGAACTTAATGAATTAATACACAGAGTACGAAAAGCCATCAACTTGGGTACAAACACATCCCTGGCTTAACACACCAGTGGCTTAAGACACTACCAGGCCCACTCCCATCACACCTGTCCTCTGTTTAGCTAGTACTCACTATAACCTGAGGCTATATCCCGTCACACGCACACAGACAGACAGACAGACAGACAGACAGATAGACAGGCAAACAGACAGACAGACAGACAGGCACTATCATTAACTGCTATCAAATTGCATTGTTGTTTTTTTATTATTATGCATTGAGAAAACATTAACTCTACCTTAAATAATGTAAAGTAGATGGTATTAAAATAAACTGATTTTTTTTACAGTGAGCATAAATAAATTTGATCTTATTGTAAAAAGGATTTAAAAGATTTAGGAAAGAATGAACTAATTTGAGATACGTTCGTTGTAAAGTGAAATAAATGTTTGAATGCACTTTCTTTCTGGAGTAGAGAGAGTCTTCGTTTAATGATATATATTGTAAAGTATTCAGTAGCCGGGGGAGATTTGCATATCACTAATAGTAAGTGGTCATAATACACGATGAATCTAGTCACACAACAAGATAACTCACTGCTGAATATTTAAAAAAAGAGTTGTTGTGTTTTGCATTTCTTTCGTGGTTTTTTTTAATGACATTCCTTCTTTTATCATTTCGGATTTATGTTTTTTTAATGTTTTTTTTTGTATATGCAATTAGTTTGCTTTCGTAAATTTCGAACATGAAACATTTTTATTATATTTTTTTTATTACTTTACCTTTAATCTTTTTTTCTTAAATCTTTTAAATTTACTCTACGAGTTCTATTTTATTTTAAGTTCACTTGAAAGACAAAGTTTCTTCACTTTTTACGACTGAGAGTCAATTAAGACAAGCCTCTCTCTCTCTCTCTCTCTCTCTCTCTCATCTACACCTCAGATCAAAAAAGTTCTCCACAATTGTTTCTCGGGAAAGTCTTATATTAAGAATCTCTATTATTAATTCTTCTATCTAATTTAAAATACTCCACACAAACTAAGCACTACACTTCCCATCACTTGTCCTCCTCTATTAAATATCTCTCATAGACTCATAAACGATACAGGGACGAGATATAAATCCGTATCTTAAATTAATTGCAACTGAGTACAATGGGTGAAACCTCTGATATATTACATTATTAAAACTCGTTCCTATACTGTATTAACTTCACCATAACAATCAGTCAGACAGATTGAGAAAAACACCCTGATTTAAATTAATTGCCTCACATTTACAGTTATTTTGCATATTCCTCCTTTTTATTCAGTTAAATATTTCTTTAATTAGCCACAATTTAGCTACATATTAGTATTTTTTTTTATGATGATATACGTATTAATCTTCCTATTTACATTTCTTCTCTATTATGGTTCAAATAATATCATGTAATTACGGATATTAATCACAATTAGTCGAATTTTCTACCACCGTGTCACCTGTGCTTTATTTAATCACGTATAAACTTCAGTGACTCAGCATAAGGCTAGTTTGGATCAACTGAACATGAAACTATAACTTATTTCTGAATTCCAGCAGAACACGTCCTTATCTCATATCGATGGTGATAACTGGCCTGACCATATCTGTCTTTACTATCCTAGCCTGAATACCTACCACACGCACACACCCTCCACACACACCTACCACACAATATAATATCCTGACGCAGACATCCTACACCTCTAGCAGGATCCTCAGGGATAGTGGCTGATCCCTTCACCCTCAAAACGGTATTAAGTTGGACGGTAATATCCACATTAGCTTGAAGGGGATTTCTGACTTTTTCCGTGAAGAACAATTTCAGGGAAGGAGATTTTGTTGAACGAGGAACCTTGTGGGGTTAAGGGATGACTCTACTTCGCAATTTCACTTTTACCTGCTCATGGCGTATCGACTTTTAGCTGTAAATGATTATTCATAGATGGTTATACACTATGGACGTATAATTGTTTGTTAAAAGTGTAGAATATATAATCCTACATGATTATCTGTACACTATCATTTTGTTATAATCGATATAATTTTACACTATTATAGAAAATGGTTCTATGCTGTAAATTTGTTATTCGTTGTTATTCACTGATTCTTTGTTTTTATTACACACAACTATCTTCACAACTAACCGTCTCATCATAATCGACCTTCACTATCACCCACAAGTTTAACCACCATCAAAGTCATTATCTTCATTGTCACTGTTAATGTCTCTTCTATACCTTCAGAATCATCACCATCACGCTCTACGACCATCACCATCCTCATCATTTCTCCAAGCACCATTACCACCACCATAGAGTCATTACCTTCACTGGCACTAGTGTTATTTTCACCACAACTACCACAATTATAAACACAATCATATCGGCTATCACAACTACCAGCTGTTCTACCACAACTACCAGCATACTATGACCATCGCCACCACTGCCACTTCCAATACCTCCTTCTTTCCTTTCTCCTTTCCATCCTTTCCTCCCTCCAGATGCACAACCATAATCGCATTATTATTATTATTCCGTCGAC